GTGCATTCACCGTCAATAGAATCATCCAGGTGCTCAAGGTCAAGGATCGCGAGCTCTTTGAACAGAAGCCGCCGCGACACGGCTATGGGGACCAGGAGCATGCCCGATTTCCGGGCGATCACTTCCTGTCCAATGTCGACATCATCAACCAGACGCACCTGCTCAAGGTTGCGCAGTGGATGCCCAAGGGTGCCCACCTGCACATTCACTTCAACTCGTGCTTGCTCCCCGGCGTTCTCCTGAGCATTGCAAAGACGATGGACCGCATGTTCATCAGGAGCAGTGTGCCCCTCGTGAGGACAAATGACCCCCATGCGTTCGAGCGATGTGAGATTCAATTCTCGATTCGGGGACAAGATATGAACACCCCCGGCGATATCTTTTCCTCCGACTACGAACCAACGCAGGAGATGCATTTCAAGGAATTCCTCAACATCTTTCCCAAGCACGCTGGTTTCGACCCCATGCCTTGGCTGGAAGAGAAGCTCATGTTTACGGACGAAGAGGCCCACGGCAAGTGTCAGACCGTCCTCGGGGCCTGGAGTAAATTCAACGGTCGCACACGCATGATGAAGGGGCTCTTCAACTACGAGACGGCTTATCGGAAGTATACCCGCCTCTTGCTGGAAGATTTCGTCCGGGACAATATCCAGTACGCCGAGATCCGACCAAACTTTATGACGACGAACCAAGTGTGGCTCGACGACGGCTCAAAGCAGGTCGAGAACCAGGAGATCGTCAAGATGATCATTGAAGAGTACGAAAAGTTTCAAAGGAAGAACAAGGGCTACTTTGGCGGCATGAAGATTATCTACTGCACCCCGCGCTCGTTCACGAATGACCAGGTCCGGAAGGCCCTCGGGGAGTGCCTCGAGTTCAAGGGCCGGTGGCCCGAGTGGATAGCGGGCTTCGACCTCGTAGGCGAAGAAGGCCAGGGTCGGCCCCTCCGCGAATTCGTCCCCGAGTTTCTCGAATTCCGCACCCGCTGTGACGCGGCTGGGCATACGATCCCCTTCCTCTTCCACTGCGGTGAGACGCTCGAGATGGGCAACGACACGGACGGCAACCTGCTCGACGCGCTGCTCCTCAACTCGCGTCGCATAGGCCACGGCTTTGCGCTGGCGCGCCACCCCTACGTCATGGAGCAGATGAAGCTCCGTGGCGTCTGCCTCGAGGTGTGCCCCATCTCCAACGAGGTATTGGGCCTGACGCCGCGGATGAACGGCCACTCGATCTATAACCTACTGGCCAACGACGTGCATTGCACCATCAGCTCGGACAACGGGACGCTCTTCAGGTAAGCATCAGCACCGCGTCGCGCTCGCCAATGCTAATGCTGCGTTGCAGATCAACCCTCTCTCACGACTTTTATCAGTTCATGGTCGGCAGGCAAGACACGAGCCTCTTCGGCTGGAAGCAGCTCATCCAGTGGAGCATCAAGCATGCGTGCATGGAGGACAAGCAGAGACACAAGGTGACAGCCGTGTGGGAAGGCCTGTGGGAGACATTCTTGGACAAGGTGATTGACCAATACTCTGATCTGATCGGAGACGATCTGTAACGGTCATGTGTTCCCTCTGACACGGCAGATGGGCGTTGCACGTTGGTACCTGGAGTTGGAGGCTGGTTTTGACAACAAGACGAGGAGAGTAGCGCCTTTGATGATGATGGTTTCATGGCTAGATCACAGGGTCTGTGGCCGGGCGACTGCGCCCCAACGGGCTTTTATTTTGATTTAGAATTTATTGAAATATGACATGATGTTCTGCTTTACATTTTGGGGAACAACTGTTCTGATGGCACGTTGCAGGGTTTGGTGACAAGTTCACGACGCGTAGAGTGTGACAGGGACAGACGCATCATTGGGAGGCACGTATTTGGCAAACCAGTATTTCCAGGTCTCAGCTTCGTCGCGTGACCAGCTACGGGGCCTCTAGCTACCAAATCTGCCATGCAGAAAGGGGGCAGACATCGGTGCCTAGCTTTTTCTCATACGTCTCATGCACTCATAACCTTTCGTTCCAAGGCCTGGCCAAACTTGATCCACGCCTCAACGACTGCCATCCAACCCCTCCACCCCCCCCCCCCCAAGGCCGAAAAATCCCATGGATCCCATCTTCCCCATCCCTCCTGGGGGGGGCCAAAAAAACTCCAACCCGAAAGCCGCAAAGGAAAGGGAAAAAAAAAAAAAAAAAGAAAGGGAAAAACGAAAAGGGGGGGAGGATCAACCCCCCCCTCTTGGGAGCGGGAAGTAGGAAGGGCCCTTTTTGGGTTGTTGTTTCTTGAAAACCCGACCTTGGGGGCGGTTGCCGCTTTTTCCCCGGGAGATCCCCCAAAATTTTGCACCCCCGCTTTCTCCCGAAGGGGGGGGAAAGGGGGGGGGTTTTTTTTTCGGTGGAAGAGAAACGAACATTGTCCGGGCGGGGATCCCGGGCCCCCGCGAAAAACGCCCCCCCTTTTCGT